TGTCAAAGTACTTTTAGTACATGTACACAAGCACAAGCATAGGTACAGATGAAGCATTCATACTACTATAGGAGTTTACTTTTACTTTTTTCTTTTCCCACCCATGTACCAGTACCACTCTTGCCTATCAATGTCTGATGCCGACCTACTGTACACGTACGAGTACCTTATCGAAGCAGCTGAGGGCAACCGAAATAAAAGGTGCTCTCTGGTCGGAGCTTAGGACTGATATCCGAGCGCAAACGGCCGCGAATGGATGCGCAGGGGTGCTTTGGGGTGCTTTGGGATGCCAATCACGGCATGTAGATGAAACAGACGACCCATGGGGATGGTGCAAGTTCAGGAGCCAGCTAAAAAAAGCCACGCAAGACGGGCAAGGGTCGGGCCCGAACAAGAGGGCACTGGAGCGATCGGTCATATGATATCGCGGCAGCCCGCGTAAGGCTCATCCGGATTCCGAGCAGGGCTGATATGGGAGTTGGGCGGACGGGTATAATTTTTTGGGGAGGGGCATGTGGCGGTAAGGAATAATGGAGGCTGCTATGAGATGTGCTAAGTTGGTGGGTAGTCAGTCAGGGGGGAAGCCTGTAATGTACGAGGACGAGTGTGTGAGTGAGTGAGTGTGAGTGAGCGAGTGAGTGAGCAGAGCAAGCATCACCAATTGTGGTGGTACCCTTGATGGTAAGTTAGCTTAGTAGAGGTAGAGGAGACGGGACCTGGCTGTGGCATATAGGAGGAGCCGTTTCGGAGGATGCAGGTCCTTGGAATGATTACATAGCACGAGACGAGGCAGTTTGCATCAGCAGGGGGCTTTTGGCCTCTCTCTCTCTCTCTGTAATACACGTATAGACAGTACCTAGTAGGTATACTAAGGACAATTGCGGCGAGAGATTTACACTACTGCTGGTACCGGTACGTCCGTTTTCCGTATTAGTGCAATGCAGGCCATTCATTTTAACTTGGTTTTTACACGGTTTACCTGAATTGGGCAGACCGCTGTCTTTTGTCTGCAATCTGGAGCCGCGTGTGAGTACCTAGGTACTATACTAAGCGGGAGTACGGAGTACAAAAGGCTTGTTAACGAAGTTAGTGCCGAGGCAAACGTACTAAGGTACCTGGCAGTAGCGGCCGATGCGATCCAATGGGATCGGAGAATTGGATTGGTGGAGCAGGGGGGGAGGTTTTGTCCCAAGGATTTTTTTTTTTTTTTTTTTCTTTCTTCTTCATAACAGCAGGGGCTGCTTGGGACGGAAGAGGAAAGTTGCGGGTTGAAGAGCCCGTTACGGAGGGCCTGTTTGGGTACTAAGCAAGTTGGCATAGTGGGCTGCGGGCGTAGGATTTTGATGCTAGCAGTTAGTTGGGTCTTAGCATGTTTGGCGCGTGTACAGTATTCGCACAGTACACGTATAAGTATGTTCGTTATTTGGTAGGGGTAAATGCTTATCCCGTCACGTATCCTCAACAATGCGTCCTGGGGCGGACCGTCTTGTCCGTTTTTTTTTTCTGGGTGCCTAATACGGAGTCGGCGGTATTTACGCAGTGCTCAAAGAAGCAATATGGACGAGGCGAGCCCTGCCCAAAAATTGTTGTGTGTTTCAGAGAGATTGGGCTGCAGCTCGCAAGGTGGCAGGTGTGTGCAGGCCCGGGTATCGCTCGAAGGATATTATGGGGAACCGGAGCATCGCCGAGAAAGAACTTTGAACGGAGGTAATCAGAGTGGGCTCTTTTGCCGTGAATAGGGCTAGCACCCAACTTGGCAATAAGGATTAGGAGCTTGGCTTTGTCTCTTGCAAGGGGGGGGCCTAGAAGATGTTGGAAAAGGGCCCTCGCTCGGAGCTTGAGGTGGGCTTTGGCGTTGTTCTTTGTTTATTATTGCTTGGCACACTAATATACAAGTACATGACTGCCTATACTCGTACGGAATAACTGGGCTTGGAACAATCCAAGGAGGGCCTTATGAATTGGTATAAATAGTACTGTACAGGACAGCGAAGAAAAGAAAAATAACATGTACTGGCATTGCGCTGATTTAATCTCGGTCCCCCTCTCCCCCCCATGGCGTGTGTACGAGGTCAAGAGAGGGTGTGAATATTACATACTGCTCAGACGAGACGAGACGAGACTAATGAAGCATCTTGAGGGCTTTTATGGAACAACCTAGCTCGTACGGGTATCAAGATGACAATCTTGGGTTGTGTATGTACTATGTATGGAGCAACAGCACGGGTATATGTACGGAGTACACATATTACGCGTAGACTCGACTAGACTCGATTCGACAGACAGACGGACAGGATTGGGTTTGGACAGGGGAGGAGGTGGGAAGCTGTCATTTTTGTTCTCCGAGTGGGATTCCCCTGCAAGTTACCAGCATTAGGTTAGTACATAGTAGTAGTATAGTGCTCCGTATCCCCAGCCAACAGGTAGCCTATTACTTGCCTACCTAGTAATTATACGAATCAAAAGCCCGCTTGCAGAATTGAGAGATTCGGAACGATGGATTGTCCCGCGCCAAGACCTGTCCAAGTCTCGGCAGAAGCTACCTAATGTGATTTGCCACCGGAAGAGGCAAGAAAAAGCAAAAAAAAAAACCAAAGACGGACAGATAGGAAGACGTGAGCACAGTATATAGTAAAGCACGCAATCAAGCAATGAGCTGTCAAAAAAGTCAAAGGAAATTAAAGGTAAGGCACACACACACACACACACACACACACACACGAATAGCTTACTATATACAGGTACTATACCTACTATGTAAGGTACTATCTACTACCTGGGTATGTAAGGTATCCAGCACTGCAAATCCCCTTTCCCATCCGCAACATCAAAAGTACATGTCATGTCCACCCACATACCGATTATCCCATCCCACGTCTCCACGCGCAAACGGCCAAGTACCGATACCGCTCTCCTCTCTCTCTCTCTCTCTATCCCACACGCCCTGAGCTGTCTTCTCTCTCTCTTCTTCGGTGCGATACCCGATTCGTAAACCCATCTTCCTCGCTTCCCGGACATTCAATCCCAATCCGGGGAACCGCGACAGCCCAAGACGGCTAAGCCTCTCTCCCAACCTCAACCGTTCCCATTTTTCGCTCCGTTTTTTTCCTCCTCCTCCTGACACCGTTTCTCTCTTCTCGTCTCGACCGAGTACGGAATACCTGAATCCAGTGCAAGACAATAGTCCCGGTACTACTACTCCGTACCCTCCGTGCTGCATACGAAAGTACCTCGCCTACCTATATTACCTCCTACGTATAACCGTCTCCTCTTCACATGCTTTTTTCTGTAGTACATTCCCATGTCCCGGTTTTGTGACAGGTGACGGAACAAAAAGTCTCCCGGCAAAAAAGAAAAAAAGCTTGGTATTCTGCGTAGCGAGCACCAAGATACGCTCGGCATGTAGCATTCGGTCTGCCTAATAGGAAATACAGGCCCTTTCGAAAACAGAAAGTCGTATCCCCCATCTGCCGAAGCCCATCTGGCTGGGGGCCCCCAAAGTCCCAACGAGCAGGTTAGTACTCCTTGTACGGAGTAGGTAGTTCCCTCAGAATAACTTGACTATACTGTATTATGAAGAAAAGAACCCACGATTGATGTAACAAGACATCTACACAAAAAGAGAAAAAAGTAAATGCATTGTCTTACTCTCCCACATGGCACAAAAACACAAAACACGAAAAGAAAGAAGAAAAAAAAAAACACAAACCGCCCCTCCCCCTCCCCCTCCCTAAAGCTTACACTCTTCTCACATCACATCAGCTTCCAGAACCTTTTTCTCAAAACCTCCTCCTCCCCCCTGGTCCTCCGAATTCCCACAATCTCACCCCAATTAATTGTAACAACTCACTTTCGCCTAATTCCCACTCCCACTCCCACTCTCACTCCCCCCCAGCATAAGGCCTCAACCGAGTGAAATGGGGGAGAAAAATAAAAGTTCATGCAAAAACGGATAAAATCCGCAATCGTTCGTATTTTCTATATATATATACTCTTGGTATCGGACAATATCCGTTGTATATATTTCGTACATACACATACACACATGTGACGACTGAGATATACTCCTCCAAAAAAAAAAACGGCTGAAAAACCTAAAACAGCACATTGCCGGTGCGCGGGTGGGTAATACTGTCAGAAACAAGTACAAAGCTCATGGGCAAGGATACGTTACGTGCCAGAAGAGCCCAGAGCCAGATAATCTCACGTGTGATACGAGTATCAAGCATATTCCATTTCCAGACACTCCAGGAACCAGGTTCTGCGAGCATATTCTGCTGCCTTGCTGCCCAAAAACACCACGCCCAAGTGCTTACGGGGTGTAAATGCGAAAGGATCAACGCTCATACTCTAAAAACCTGGCTGAACAAATCTCCGCCTTTATTATAGTAGTACTAGTAATTCTTTTTTTGGTTCCCCCCTTCTACCAAGTCGCCATCTAGTTACAACATCTGCCGGTCCCGTCCGTCGCTAGGACATTCAACTCCAGCCAATCTGGCCCAGTAGATCAACAAGCATCTCCAACCAACCAACCACTGCACAAAAGAACAAAACGCCTCCGTGACGGAAGGGTATCCATAAGTCAGGGCACCATACGCCCGCTCCACGCCACCCTGTCCCAGATCCTGGTATATGAAGCAAACAAACAGACACAAAGAAAGAGAAAGTAAAGGTCAAAGAGAGAGAGAGAGAGAGAGAGATAGTATAAAATGAGCACGCATCAAAAGACAAAGGAGAGACAATGTTTGAAGAGGTGTCAAGTAGACCATCTGTTCATTAATAGAGGGTATCGGCAACTGAACAAATAAAAGGGGGGTATCGGGTGGCACGGAGATTGAAGTGACAAACAAAGGGTAGAGCCATAGGAAGCTAAACGTCCCGTTCCCCTGCGCCAATTTCAAAGGAAACAAAAGGGAAAGAAAAAAAATAATACAATAGAATAAGAGGCAAGAATCAGCCCGTCAGGGTGAGAGTCGGGAGAGGCAAGCGTGCTACGTCTTCTTCTTGCCTTGGTGTGACTTCCATTCGGCTTTGGTCACCTTCATCAGGAGATCCTCATCCTTGATGGGAATCCATGACGTCAAGGCCTTCATCGCATTTTCAAAGTCTGAGTCCAGGAGCACCTCGCGGAGGGCCTGGATCAAGGCAGCGCTCGTGGCGTGCAAAACGTCGAGTCCCGTAGCCGGACTTGCTTCGTTGTCGTCAACATGGGCGAGAATATTCGACTCGGCTGCGCTATCTCCCAACAGGAGAAAGACGTCCCAAACTCGCAGCTGGGCTGGGAATGGGATGGAGAGGTTGAAGAGGGTAAGGTACCATCGTGTACCGTACGCCGTTATGTCTACGTTGAGTTCGGTCTACAGGACAAGAGGCACAAGTATGTTAGATTCCAAGAGAAGCCCAAAAAAATACAGTATTTGGTTATCATTGTCGGGACTCACCAGCCTCTTGGCCACGTCCTTGTTCAGCCAAGTTTCATCAAACTCGTGCAGAGCCTTCATCAGACCTTCGAAGCCTGGGCGGTAGAGGCGATCGAGCCCTCGTAGCTGCCACATGCGCACCAGCATGACGAAGCATTTTTCCTCGTCAAAGTAGCACAGCAACGTTGCTGCCAACGACGCCATGCCTTGGACATAGCCCGTTTCCGGAAAGAAGATGGACAGGCAGTGTAAGACCCGGAACAGAAGCCGCTGGCCGCCACGGTACCTCTTGCGAAACATGATGTGTCGGCTAATGGTTCGGGGCACATCAAGGTCAATCTGCACATCGTCCGGTGAGCTTTGCTCCAGCAGCCGGTGAAACGAGGCAACAATCTCCTCTTCCACAGCATGAACTCCGTGTTCCGCAGCGGAGCTAGCAAGAAAAGACCACCAGGCGGCTGCGCGCCAGCGATCGGGAATGCCCTTCCACGTTCGCTCAATAAGCTTAGGGTTCTTCCTGTCAAATTCAAACTCCATGCCTTCGCCCTGGCCGCCTTTTCGGACGACCTTGGCCATCTTGCGCCACTTCTCCGACCTCTCCCACTCCTTGCGCTTTAGCGTTTCTGATATCCTCTCTATCTGGGCTTCCTCTGCGGCGTCTTGGAGGCTTGGTGGAAGCGTCAGCATGTCGCCAGCCTCGTCCAACCACCGCCTATCTCGGTTATGGGGCAGCAGGTTGCTAGCCTGTCGAATGACCGATCGCGAAGATCGCTTCGAGGCCGTAGATAGTTCCGATGCTTGGGTGTTGAGTGACCTCGCCGACATCTTCCTGCTCGGACCCAAGGGGGATAGGCCGGCAAAGTCCCTCTTCTGTAACATGTTCCTTCGCCGAGGCGAGTACTGGGCAGACTTCATCTCGGTGGGCGTGCCGAGCCGTGATCGGGGGGCGGTGATGAAGCCATATCGATCGACGCTGGAGCCGTCAACATCTTCCCAGTCCTCCAGGCCGCCGGCGAGCTCCGTGTCCCGTCTATAGTCAAGGTGGACTGAAGAGCTGGTAGACCTGACGGATCTTGGGGTCCCCCAGACAGGAATGGGGGGCGGCAGTATGCTACAAGTCGAATGACGCAAAGCGTTAGCAACAAGATGCACACAAGATGAAGAAGCAGACAGCCCGACACACGACGCCAGGAGATCGTCAAGGGAATCCATACGAGTCATTCCCATCTTCCTCTGCTGGGAGCTCTGGGGTAGGCTCCAAGGGTTCGCAGTACGAGCGCCTTGCGCCATCCTCCCAATTGATGGCATCGCCGACTCCATAAAGCGATCTCACCTTTTGGGACTCCTTGTCGATATCGGATGCTAGCAGGCGGATGTCGGGTGGCGGCTGAACGCGGGGCACGAGGTTGGGGTTGGAGGCAGCGGCCAAGGACTCGATGCGGTCGACGCTGGTGCTGCTGGATCGTGCATGGCTGTGAGTGGGTGTTGAAGGGGCAGAGACATCACCTCTGCCGTCGTTGGTCCCGTCAAGGCCCAGCGCTCCGGCGCGTCGCCCGCCGAACATGATGCTGCCGCGGTTCGAGAAGGACAACGTGGCCATAAAATCATCCTCGAGCAGGCTGTGCGTTGGGATGCTGATGCCCAGAGGCGCAAAGCGGTCGTTGACGTCGTCGCCCGGAGGAGTAGTGTCGCGAGAAGCCGATAGTGTCTGTATCTGCTGCAGTAGCGGAAGAGGCGACGGTTCTGCAGTCGACCGTTGTGGCTGCTTATGAGTGGAGGCTGGCTGCGAGCCCCGCATCAGGGGCTGCATTGGCGCGTTCGCGGCAGCAGATCCCTCGTCAATTGCCAGGGCTTGCAGGGCTAATTTCCCCTTTGCCGATGTAGAGGAGTAGACGCTAAGGCGCTTGAGAATGCTTTGCCTCTTTGGCGAGGCTGGCGACAACGACGGGCGAGGTGGTGAAGGTGGTGAAGGAGGCTGAGGTTGAGCACGGCTCGAGGCGCCGGCGGTATTGACTTTTTCGAGGCAAGGAAATGACGCAGACGCGGCTTGTTGATGAAACTTTGTCTCACTTGTCGAACACTGCCAACCAGCCGCCGCTGGGCCGACAGCTGTTCCGTGCTGTGCTTGTACTTGTACTTGTGGGACACGATGCCGTGGCACCGCGTCGACTTTGGTTGGCTTGTCACTGGCAGAGTCGTCGGAGTCTGCCAGCTGCTTGCTGTCTTGTTTGCCCTCTTCCTCCTCGCAGTCCTCTTCGTAAATGGTAGCTGCCGAGGTCGGTGTCGGCGCGAGTCCCGAGTCTCTCTTCCAACTCTCGTGAGCGAGCTTTGCCTGACGGACCGGCGTCCTCAGTGCCGGGTGCTGCTCAGTGGGAGGTGGAATAGGCGGCAAAGAGAGCTGCGGTGGCGTAACAACCACCAGACTTGGCGAGTAGAGAGACAAAGAGTACACAGAAGGAGAGGGGGACGATGCTGACGATCGTATCGACAGCGTACGAATGGTGTTGCGAGATGTGTTTCTTGGAGGCAATGGGATGGGAGGCTCTGCCTGGACCATCTTCTCGTAACGGAGGCCTATGGTGTTGCTGTCGGCAGACCGTCGTGATCTAGAGCCTGTTGCTGGACGGATTGATGTGATGGCCATGGCTCTGTCTGGTGGAGTTGAAGGAGCTGATCGAGCACAATGGCCTTGAGCTTGTGGGTGAGATAGATATGGATTGCTGTTGCTGATGGCGGTGCTACTAATGATGGCGAGGGTGCTGATGCTTGAGTTCTCGGTGCTGTGCGAACGGAGGCTCCGAGTCAAGCGTCTGAGCAGCCTGGTGAAGCGTGAGACAGCCAGTTTGAAAGATTGACGAGGCGTCCAGTATTAATAACTGCCTCTGAGACGCTGGCTGGGCGGTGGGAAACGAAGGTGAGGCTGGCAAGTTATGCCTTGGTTTGGTCTTTCCCTCGGAATGTATATCGAGGCTTGCCGAAGCGATAAGATGTGAAGCGAGGGGAAGCGAGAATATCGCAGAGCAGACGAGGGAAGCTCTTTGGGGGGTGGGTAATGATAGCGAGAGATATGAGAGAGAAGAGAGAAGAGAGAAGAGGTGTAACGGGAAGAAAAGAGCGGAGGGATGAAAGAAAATCGTGGGTTGACGTGGCACTCGTTCAGGTCATAAAGTCGTAACTGCTGTAAACGAAAGGAATGGGCAGTCTGCAGCCCTAGCGGTGCACTATCACGGCGGGTAGGCGGGACGCAGATGCAGATGCAGATGCAGATGTTTTCAACTCGAGTATTCTGACAGTCGGTGTAAGAGCTGTATAACTCGGATTCCTGCTAGCGAACGCTCAGCTCAGCCCCTGGCACTGATAGACAGACAAAGAAACAGGCATGTGTGTCCCGGGGAGATGGTTGAGAGTTATATACTCGTACCTATGGAGCAGAAGCAAGTAATTTAACCCTCTGAAAATCCGGGGAAAGCGTAGCGAATGCCTTTCTCTCTGTCTCGAGAATCGCCGCGGACCAAGACGTCCCTTGCATACAGGACAGGTACTAAAGCAAAAGCAAAGTACAGCTGAGACATGTGTCTTGGAACGGCGGCGAATCACAACGCTGATGGGCAAATGAGCGTGGATGAGCTGAAAACTAGGAGACGGGATAAGAAAAGAAACGAGTGGGAAAAAGAAAAAAAAAAGAAAAAAAGAGAGAGAGGCTGTCCCTTTGTTTCTATACCAACAGGCAGAGCGCATGCATCACATCATGGCCTCATGCAGGGCAGAGGCCAGCGCAGTCAATGGTTTGTTCGGGGATGACGGGTGCGACTATTGCGTCCAGCGTACTCGTAATACTGCCGTGGATATCCTGATTTTCCATGACGGGGCGTTTAGAATTTGCACTACGGAATCCAACTGCAAACTCCCTCGTGTTGCCCGCCCATGCACGCATGCATGCATGCATATCCTTTGACGCCAAATACTCGTAGTACTTCACATACTCGTAGATGTACCCAACAGCACGAGTGAAGCCATCCATTCAATGGCAACAAAGGAATGGAAGAGGTCAATGCCGAGCTCACTTCGCCCATGACCCGGCATAGCCCAATCGGGGACCCGCGATAGAGCTGGACACTAAGATGTTGGCTAGTGGCGGGACAGGGATCACCGATGTTCGACTTTCCAGGGCCTCGTCCAGCGGCATCTAGGCGGTCACGGCTTTCGGGCACCCACTAACAAGACCAGACTCCGGCCTGCTGGGAACCGGCATCTTCATTAGCGTGCAGTTTATTGCTTTGGGCTCAACTGTCTTTTAGGCCTCCATTTGTCATGTACGGATGTACCTACTGGCACATGTGCAAGTACCTTTCCGTCCATGATGTGTCCTCCACGTACTCTAGGTACTTCGTATGTTGATATTACCTACTGAGCACTGTCAGGCACGCTGAAGCCCACCGCCTCTTCGGCTGCCTGCTGTTCTGTTTCAAGTCGTTTGGCGAGAGAGCGGTCCAAGCAAACGAGCAAATGAGACCCGACGTCAAACGGGGGACAGCCGGACATGTCAAATTGGATCAATGCCAAATTGACAGGACGCACAGGTACTGGTCCCTCCACGTCAGGTACATGTATCACGGCACTAACAATCATTGATGGATGGCTAAGCCGGCATGTACCTTGTAGCATTCCGGTTACGCTGAAAGAAAGAAAGAAGACCGCAAAGAGAGAGAGAGGGGGGGGGTTGACAGCATAAGATGCCCGCGGGTAAGCAACTCTCCATTGGGCCCTCTCGTATATGCAACCCTGCGTGCCGAAGCAAACGAACGAAATGCACATGCAAACTAAATGCACACGCCGACAAGCAAAAAGAAAAACGCCACTTATGCTCACCCAAGGAGAAAACAAGAAAAGAACCCATGTCTTGGGTGCTAAATAAAAAGGTTTCACTCTACTGGTCCGCGGATGCAGGAGCCGGCAGGACTATCACAATCCTGCATTCGCACCGCAGCGCATCGCAGGAAAAAAAAAAAAAAAGAAATCGAACCCTCCCATTCACTTCAGCTTTGCAGGGCGGTGGCACACAATATTAGCCGGCTGCTAAGTTTTTCTCTTTTTTTCTTTTTTTTTGCACCCTTTTTTTTTTATCTTCCCTCTTCCCCTCGACGAGCGAGAAAAGACGCCGCCGCTTTCCTGCAAGGGGTGTCACTTCTCACAAACACCGTCCATCTCAACAGATGCAAGGTACCCGATGCCAGCGAATGGGCCCGATCCTACTTCACGTACTCGAACTGGTACTCACGCTCTCTCCCCTTCTCCTCTCTTTTCTTCTGTCTCTCTCTCTCACATGGGTACCTACACATGTTGGGCACTTACACGCACCCACACATACACACACACTGCAGATACCACTGCCCAGCCCTTTCGGACCAGACTCCCATCCGTCCGCACCCCTTCTGCCGATTCGTTTGCCCTTTTCTCACTTCTCTCTCTCTTTTCGGCATCTTTGCAATCTCAGCCGCCTCCAATTATTCGTCCCCCCTCCTTCCAGCTCGGCATCGTGCAGTGCAAACGCCGACGCAGGAACAACACGCAATGGTCATCCTAAAAAAAATCTCATGCAAGGGAGAAAGAGGGGGAGGAAGGGGCTCAGCTCGGCAATCGTTCTGCCGTCTCCCCCCTCCTTTTTGCTCAATTGAGTTTCTGCATATCATTTTTTTCTCTTCGTAACACTTTTGGTGAGCAACTATCTGAGGAGGCTTCTTTGCCAAGCTGGCCTTTCTTCCCCGGTGCTCCGCCTGAATTCAGCAGTACTACGCCCGTGTTACGTGTAGAATGACGGCTGTTGTGGCTCCTTTCGCTTCTTCCATTTCTTTTTCTGAGTGTACGCTGTGACCGTAGGAATTATTCAGGCCGGGTAGCTACACAAGATACAAGGGAGAGACTCAGCTCGAGCCATTGACTGTTGCCTGCTTGTTGGCTCCAGCTGTCACCCACTAAGCACACAAGGAAACGATAGTACTACCTTGGCGCAACATCTGGGC